GGAGCAGCTGGAGGGGACTCGGAGCGTGGCAATGCCCCTGTCCAGGCCCTGAGCTTCTCCGAGGAGGCAGGTGAGTGTCATCTGGCAGAGGGAGCCACACATGTGTCCCTGTGGCCAGGATGGGGTGATGGAGAGGAGGAGGGTGAGGGGAGGCTTCATCCCTCTGCAGCTCCTGCCAGGAGGTACAGCCAGGTGGGGTCAGGCTCTGTTCCCAGGGAACAGGGACAGCACAAGAGGAACACCTCAGGCTGTGCCAGGGGAGGCTCAGGTTGGACATCAGGAGGAATTTCCTCATGGAAAAGGCATTGGAACAGTCCAGGGAGGTGATGGAGTCACATCCCTGGGGGGACCTAACAGCCATGTGGATGTGGCACTTGGGGTCATGGTCAATGATGGCCTTGGCAGTGCTGGGTTGGACTCAATGGGCTCAAAGGGCTTTTCCAGCCCAACCAACTCCGTGATTCCCTGCTCCTGCCCTCTGCCACCCTTTGGCCCTGGCAGGAGAAATTCCCAGGGGAGTTCCTTGGGGTGAAATCTGGGGGTCTTGGAAGCTCCTCCAGCCTCTGCCCATTCCTACCTCTCCAGGTGCTGCAGGAGCAGATGACGACGATGACATCCCTAAGCCCCCGAAGGAACACGTGGAAGTGACTCCAGCTCCAAAGGAGCATGTCGAGGCACAGAGGGTATGTGTGGGCAGGGGGCTGGGGGTCTGCCTCTGCTCCTTCCCACAGCCCCTCACTGTCTCTCCATGCCCCCAGAGCACACCATGGCCACGGGGATACGTCCTGCGGGGGAGAGCCCCCAGGCAGGACCCCACCCCCCACGGCAAGGTAAGGACCCCAATCCTGGGCAGGATGTGACTACTAGGATGTCCCAGTGGCAATGCCAGGGAATCCTGGAGTTCTCCATGGGGAGCTGTGCACCATATCTGTGCCAGGAGGTGTTGGATCCATGGCAGAGCCTCGATCCCTTCGGAGATTCCGAGGAGAAGCCATTTAGAAAAGGTATTCTTGGGGGGTGTCATTCCTGGGTTGTTCCTGTCCCCATGGAGGGTCCTTCCCAGCCATGTGTCCTTCAGTATTCCCAGGTCCACAGCACATCCTTCCCATGGTGGATCATTCCTAGCCCACCGAGGGTCAGTCCCAGCCCCATGGAGGGTCATTCGCAGACCCATTCTATCCCAAGGGCCCCAGGAGAGGGACACCTGCCCCATGCCAAACTCAGTGTCACCTGTGCCACCTCCAGGGAAACCCTTCCTGGTGCCATGCAGCTTGGAGGACATGGTGGGAGGCAAGAGGAAGAGGAAGGGCCCCAGGAAGCTCCAGGACTTCCTGACGTGGTTCTCTGCAGCCTGTGAGTGATTTCCAGGGGATTGGAATTCTGAAGGGTTGGGAGGGGGGATAACAGCCCTGCGGGCACAGTGGTGGCCTTGGCACTACTGGGTTGGACTCCATGGGTTCAAAGGGCTTTTCCAACCTCCATAATTCTATGGATTTTCCATCCAATGCCTCCTAACTCTCTCCCAGTTAACAATGTCATGGAAAGCAGGAAAAGCAGGAGGAAAGGACCAACCTTTGCAGGTGAGAGGACAAGAGGGGACAGGGACATTGGCACAAGTGGCCACCCTAAGGGTGGAATCTCCTGTGGTTCCCAGTCTGGGGGTCACAAGGGACCTTAACCTGCAGTGGGGGGAAGATGGGAGGGCAAGGACACCCCAAAACCTCCCACAGGGAGCCCAGGAAGTTACCCCCCACCCATGGCATGCCAGGAGAGGGTCTCTCCTGGGTTTGGCGAGACACTGAGGGGGTCCCCAAATCCCTGTGCCCATCCCCACAGACCTAGCTGAAGCAGCGTCTGGCAGCACGCAGGAAGCTCCAGCCCCAGGGGGTGAGTCTGAGGGGGCTAAATTGGGGTGCAGGGGGGCACCAGCAACCCCCCCCCTCAAGGCTTAGGGGGTGCTCTGGAGGAGCTCGGGGTTCTCAGAGCTGTGTCCCCCCAGGAGATCCTATGCCAGGTGGAACTGGAGCTGGAGAACGACTGTGGTGCTGACTGTGATGAAGGGGCAGGTAGTGCACCCCAAATCCCAACAACCTGCCTGGGGGGCCTGTCCTCCCCTTCCTGGAGGTTTGTGGAGGTCCTGGAGGGGGTCTGAGGGGGGTTTGGGGTCACTCACGGGGTGTACTCACCTCACAGATGATGACTTTGTGGACCATGAGGACGTGGAAGTCCCAGAGGAGGTTGGAAAAGGATCTCTGGGTGAGTTCCTGCCCTACCCAAACACCCCAAATGTGTCCCTGGGGGCAGCCCCTGGGGGCCAGCCCCTGTGCCCCCGAGGTGGGGAGGGGGTGGCTGTGAACCCTCTGTGACCTCCTTTTCCCACAGAGCCTTCTGAACCGAGCTATGAGGAGTTGGTGCGCAGGAATGTGGTAAAAGAAAGGGGGGACAGGGGAGTGACCCAGGGGCTTGGGGTGACCCTAAGAGGGTTGGAGGCATCCCTGGGAGGGTCAAGGTGATTCCAGGAGAGTTGAGGTGCCCCTAGGAGGATCAGGGTGACCCAGGAGGGTTGGGATGTCCATAGAAGCATCAGGGTGTCCCCAAGAGGGCTGTGTTCCCCTAAGAGGGTTGGGGGTGCCCCCAGGAGGGTCGAGGTGTCCCTATGAGGACTGGGGGTGCCCTCAGCAGGGTTGAGGTGTCCCTGGGAGGTTCGGGGTGTCCCCACTGCCCTGTCCCTGCAGGAGCTGTTCATGGCCAACTCTCAGAAGTACGTGCAGGAGTCGGCACTGTCTCAGCGCATCCGCAGCTGGGAGGAGCACGTGGAGCTTCTGCTGCAGGAGCAGGCAGGACCCGGGCAGGGCAGGGCCCCTCTGGGGCGGGAGGGACTACCCAGGGAGGGAAGGGCCCCTGAGCAGGGATCACTGGGGGCACACGGGGCAGAGAACACCAGGGTGGGCAGGGACCCTCGGGGTAGGCAGTGACCTACACAGGTAAGGCCCTGGGAGAGCCCTGCCCACCCTTGAGCCCTCTCTGACCCACCCCGGTCCCCGTGCCGCAGGAGTGCCGCGCCCCGTTTTTAGTGCGAGAGTACGGGGATTCCCTGGCCAGCAGCTGCAGAGCCCTGGGCCACTGG